AAAGGCAGGAACTGCTAGAAAATTAAAACTTGCTGCAATCAGAGGCTGTCATTATGTAGGGTTATAAATCTCTCTCCCCATGGCACCATCACATATGTTGCTGGTCTCATATGTCATTTAAAAACCTTCCCGCAGGAAGTTTCATTAACTGAAAGGTCTATGGATCGACTGCCTCCCTCATTTTCTCTGTAAGCCATTTCCTAAAATGCTCCTCCCATTTGTGGCACACTTTGATCTGGGCTAGGCGAAGCCTGAGGCACCAATGACTTATCCCTTACTGGTAGTAAACATCCTAAAAGATAGATACGGAGGACCAGATCTTTGCTTTGGCTCGGAGATGCCAGCGACCCAAAGGGCACCTGATGTGAACGGCAGACTCTCTCATCTCTGACTCTGGGCCTGGGGGGTGATCCTTTGGTAGCAAGGGGAAAGTTCTGGCCTTCCGTTCCTACTCCTCCCTCCCTTTCACCTTTCATTACCTTTCCTTGAAGACAGAGCTGTCAGTGGCAATTATCCCTAACCGCAAGGAATGGAACAGACATATTCAGAGGCTCTGATCAACAAGAGTTGGAGGTGGGGGTGGGAAGCATGATGGATACCCCCATCAGGCTCTGTTTGTGAGTGATAGGTGTCCTCATTGTCAGAGAGTGCTGGGCAACCCCCAGTGAATTGGCAACCAACACTCTCGACCATACATCAATGGTTACGTTCTTCCAAAAGAGCTCCACAGGAGCGAGATGCTACCTGGAGTGGCTGCAGAACAAAAGCCACTTCACCTTCTGTCATCAGACAGTGGTTGTGGGGTTTCAGCTGTGCCCCAGGTTCAGTGCAACCAAAACTAATAAATAAGTGGGTCTTCTGTTTAAGGCAAATTAAGGCTTACAGTGCAAACCTAGACATACTTGCTTAGAAATGTGTTTGGCAGGTGCTTATTGTGAATTGGATTGTTTAGTGTTGCAGCTTCAATTTCAGTCACTGCTACAGGGTCACATAACTGATTAAGTAATCTATCAATGAGGATCTTGTAAGACAATTCCTTGTAAATTCAACTGATTCAAATGGGCTTACTTTAGTGCAAGGTAATACTGTATGCTAAGCAACAGGATTGCATTCATAAAGTTAGGTTTGGGATGAACTGGCTCAATGATACATCTGTATCATTTCACTCAAAACCTTCTTTGCTTCTGTTACATTTTTTTTCTAAGTGTAGGCCCATTTTTGGTTGTTTCTACCCCACTACTGATAGGCCACACTAGAAGAAAACCATCTACAGCAATGTGCCATAACATCTCTTCCACTAGAGGATACCAGCATACAGTACTGTACAAGCAGAAAGACCTACTTTGCCTATCTGGGCACTTAAGCCTTAACAATAATAGCTGTATGGTGTAAAGTCAATTCTGATGTATGGAAAGAGCTCCCAAGGTTATCTAAGCATAACCATTCCCTTCCTCTGGGGTCACTGGGACTATGCAGCTTGCTCAAGGCTACACAGGCTGGCTTTTCTTCTGCAAGGGACAGAGGGGGCTCAAACTCCCAATCTCTGCCTCTGCAGCCAGGTATCTGACTCACTGAGCTATCCAGCCGGTGGACCTCTTGCTTTTTAGTTGTACTCTTTACCTGCACATGAGAACATTTATTACTCACAAGAATAAGAAAGGCTGATGCTTTGTAAGACCTATGTATCCTCACCTTAGAGTGACCATCTGCAAATGTCCACAAAGCCCACAGTCTGTGCATGGAGGCAAGTGCCCTCACCCGTGGTTGCTATGCTGGAGTCTGAAAAGGTTTTCTTTAAGCTGAGTGCTCTCCAACAAATTAAATGGCAAGTAGGACATTAACACAACAAGTGGCACTTGAATCATTCTCTCAGTTTCAGTGCAAGCTATTAACTAGGTTGTTGGGCAGCAGAATCCTACCAAGCACAGCCGAGAGGAAGGAACCCCAGGGAGGGTATTGAACAATATCAAGAGGCCAACACTTTACTTTTCCTTGCTCTAACAAATAACTTTATGCATGTCGACCTTCCTACTTGTAGCAACCTTTCTTTCAGAAGGACAAGATTCTAAATTGCAGGCATTATCTCTTTTAGGAAGGCTCTCCCTGATCCAAACAGTACTAGAGAGCATTACAAAGATAGCTATATTACAGATACGTACCAAGGTACGTACCAACTCCGGGAGGCAGTAGAAGACAGGAGGGCCTGGCGTGCTCTGGTCCATGGGGTCACGAAGAGTCGGACACGACTAAACGACTAAACACACACCAAGGTAATGTTTTGCTATGATTTTCAGTGCCTTTTCTAATAATATATCTAGCATGGCCTTTGTGTTGGTGTTCAGTGTTATCATACATTGCTACTGCAATCTTATGCACTATCCCCTGGCAGCAAACCCCATGAAATATAGTGGCATTTGTATCTGAATAAACATGCTTAGGACTGCTCTGCTGCATCAGTATTTCCTTGGAGTTAATTCGAGTCCCAGAATTAAAAAAAAATTAAAATAGCGTAAAAGAAGAGTCTGAAGCTGCTATCCTTAGTTACAGCACAAAATAACAGGGACTTTTTATTCAGCCCTGCTGTTTACTATTACTTCATGAGCCCAGCAGGTGGATTTCTTCTTTGTATCATCAGCCTCAGAGATGGAATAGACTTCAAGCATGAATCAGCTTGAATGGAAGGCGAGTCCCTGTGCGAAGACTGGACAGAACGGGAACCAGAGCCTCAAGCAGGTCCGGACAGAGAAACAGGCCATTTTGCCAAGCAAAGAGAAGGCCACCAGAAACATATCCGGGGTTCTATCTGACCCATGCAATGTGTATCAGTTTGTCTAGCTAATTGGGAATTCATCATTTCTAATGCCAGAGTAGACTCCCTGGAAAACACCCTGATGTTGGGAAAATGTGAAGGAAAGAGGAGAAGGGGACGACAGAGGGCGAGATGGTCGGACAGGGTCATCGAAGCGACCAACATGAACTTGACCCGACTCCGGGAGGCCGTGGAGGACAGGGGGGCCTGGCGGGCTCTGGTCCATAAAGGGGTCCCGAAGAGTCGGACACGACTTAACAACTGAACAACAACAACGCCAGTGTTCTTACTAACAGCCTTACAACATGGCTAAAACCTCCACCGATTGACTCCTCTTTTTTTTTTTTTAATTTCTCAAGGTCTACTCAAACAATCCACCCTCCTACAAAATCCAGCCCGCCAGTGGAAGGCCCCCCTTTTGAAACGGGCACAGCCGAGAAAGGCAGGCCGCCGCCGCCGCCGCTTAGGCACAGCGGTGGGAATCACTCCATGGGCCGGAGACACACACACCCCCCGCCACCTCCCCCCCCCATGGCTGTGGAGCCAGGGGTCAGGATGAACTCCCCGCTGTGCCTCCCAGGAGGCCGGGCGAGGGTCCCGAAAAGAGCACGGACCGTCCGTCCGTCGGTCGGTCGGCCACCTCCCGGTACTGTACGCCTTGAAAACACCGGGAGGGATCGGCCTAACGCCGGGCCACACTGGAGAAGGCATAGCTTCTTTAAACCCTAGGCAGGCCTACTCGGAAGTCAGGCGACTCTATTCAGCGGCGCTTGCTCCCAAGGAAAGGAGGCGGTTCTTGCCTTCTGGCCTAGAAGCGTGGGCGATCCCTGGGCAGCCCGGAATTGCCGTTCCCTTGACCCAGTTTCTCACGGCCTCCTCCTCGTCCTCCTCCCGCTTTCAGGTCGTCGGAAGGAACCTCAGCGGAGACGGGCAAGGTTCAGGTCGTTGGAAGGAACCTCAGCGGAGACGGGCAAGGGCTCGGCCGAGAAGGCGCCCGGCTCGGAAAACCGCAGGATCGCCACCGGCCGTGCCCGCCCGCTCCTCCGAGGAACAACGACGCCGGGATCGGTGCCCCTCCTCGCCTTCCTTCCCAGCCCGGGACCTTCCGGGAAGGGCTTCACCGAGAACAACGGGACCTCCGCGGCAACAAGGGAGCCTCTCCCGCGGCGCCGCTCGGCTTCCACGGCCCGGCCCAGATCCCCGGAGCGATCTCTGAGGGAGCAGTTGCTAGGCAACCAGCCCCCCGAGGAACAACGACGCCGGGATCGGTGCCCCTCCTCGCCTTCCTTCCCAGCCCGGGACCTTCCGGGAAGGGCTTCACCGAGAACAACGGGACCTCCGCGGCAACAAGGGAGCCTCTCCCGCGGCGCCGCTCGGCTTCCACGGCCCGGCCCAGATCCCCGGAGCGATCTCTGAGGGAGCAGTTGCTAGGCAACCAGCCCCCTCCCCGGCCCGGCCCTTTCCCGTTAGGTGGGCGGCGAGGGGGCTGCGGGAACGGAGGAGCGCGAACCAATCGCGAAACTTCCGCCGGAGGAGTGGGCGGGGCGAGCGCCCTCCTTCCTTCGTGCCCCCCTCCCTCCGGCCCCCGCTCCTCCGCCTTCCTCAGCGGGCCGGGCCTTCTCACTTCGCGGCGGCACGAAGGGATTCCTCCGCCTTCGCCGGCCGCGGGGATTATTTGCCGCGCGAAAAGGCGGCGGGAGGCAGCCCAAGAAAGAGCGCGCCGGCCGGGGACGG